ACGATGACTTGTGGTTGCACGGGTAAAATTATTTGTTCCTTCGCATAGTTGCTGATGTTTTTAGAAACAAGCGGTTCAAGAAATCCCGTGTTTTGGGGAGAAAGAAAGAAAGAGGTGAAGTGTGTCTATTGGCGTTGTCCAGTGGTAGCGCAGTAACGGAGATACAGAGCCTAGGCCATCTGATCGCTTTGTAATTCAATGCTCTTTCTTATCTAAGCTGTTAAGAATATACTGTTTTCACGTGAAACCTCAGAAGTACTTATTTTGCCACTGAAGTCCCGTTTCAAGTACTGCTGGAAAGCGTGCCAATAGTACTGTGCTTCTGCTTTCTCAAAATGACTGCCGTGTCATCCTCCTCATTACAGTGTCCTCCAGGCTAATCAGCTCGCAGACTGAATCCCTTATGCTCCCAAGCTGCCTTCATACATTTTTACTTAGAACCAGTATGAAATGCAGTTTAGCTAGTACCAGCTGCTGAAGTCCAGCTACTCTAAACTTGACCTCTCCCTGGTGTTTGTCTTGGTTCACTTACACTTCCCATTTCCCCTAAACATCCTAGAGAAGTTTATTTGCTCTTCAGAGTGGTTTGGGGATCTGCCTTTCTTTTTGAATGCTATTGCTGCAAACAGACATTTCTTTCTTAATGCTGCATTTTTATCTGTCCATTTTTAGAGACAGAAGTGTTTTAGTTTGTTTGCTTTTCCCTGCAGCGCTTCTAACAATCTTTATTTTTGCTATGTGTTGCCAAAAGCAGAAGTTAGTCAGCTTGAAAAAGGACCTAAGAAACAGCTCTGGTCAAGTGTTTGAATGAGTCATTTGCAGAGGAGTCGAGGTTAATGGTGGTGGGACATCAGCTGCTCTCATTTTTTGATCACTGTTTTTGGAACCTGCACCAGGAGTGGAAGAAGGTCTGGGGCTACTTGAAGTCTGCCACAAAAAGAGAGGGAGGCCCAACGTCAGGTTTAAACTTGCTGTGCAGTAGTCTGCCCCTCTACTGGAAAATTGGTGGGTGCCTAGAACTGAAAAATGATAGATACTTAGGTTACTAATATATGACTTGCATCAAGCAACAATATTGTGGCAAGTAATTGGTAAGTAAAGAATGTTCTGTCAGCAGAGAATGGCGTTGCTCTTCCATGCTGTGGATCACTAGCTTACGAAGCCTTTTATAGTGGTGTAGAGACTGCACAGAGCCCAGTCTCCATGTCAGTGTCAGTACAGGTATTGCCAAGGTGTTTGTTAGCCTGCTTTCCTAATGGAACAAGTCTTAATGCAGCCATGTTGGCCATCAGCCTCGCTGCTCGGTAACTTGTTGGCCAACATCAGTCAAACTTGATAGCAGGCTGAGACATAACCAAACATCAGGTTACAGCTTCTGTAAAAGCTGGTATGTAGGCAGCCTGGAGATCCAAATTAGTGCCGTCACCGAGGGAAATCTAGTCCATACCCAGCCCATATGCGTTTTGTTTGACAGAGCTGCTGTCCAACCGACACGCGCGCAGTTCCAGATGAACCACGACACACTTCCTGGCCCTGAAAAGCCATGGATGCAGAATCGCTACTTATGGGGAAGAATGTGGGAAATACTACAATAAAAACTGTTCTGCAGAGTTGAGGCAGAATACTAGCATGGAAAACAAAGTACAGGTCGGGAATTTTTACCAGGAAAGACTTTCTGTGAAACATGACTCCATTTTTCCTGTAGCCTTTTGCTGCGTATTATCTGACTTCACTGAGTTATTTTCTTTCTGAACAGACTTGCTGGGAATAGATAAGCAAGGTTACAGTACAGAGTCCTCTCTCCCTAACGCACCTGCTAAAGATCATAAACCTACAGACAGGTCTATCCATGTAACAAATTGATGCACCAGAGTTGCCTGAAAGGTGTGCGATTTTTTTTCAAAGATGCACAGCACAAAGGAAGAAAGCAGCCGCAGCAGACGAAGAGAGTTAAATGATAAATCCAGGGTCAGATAAAGGAATACAGGGGGAACTAAAATACAGAACTAAGAAAACAGGACACAAGGAACAGGCAGGAAGGAGACTGCTGGTGGCTGGTAAGGAGAGCTCTAAATGCCAGACTTGAGAAGTAACTGCAAGGCAGCCATCAGTCTGCATTCTCTCGCTCGCTTTCCTTCGGGAACTGTTGGGCTAGATGACAGGCTATTATGTTTAGGAAATTTGCTTTGTAAATACACGTAATGTATATCTGATGAGTATCTGAATGTTTAAGTTAAACTGGAGAGTTTCAAGTTAAAGTGAAAGGTTTTGGTGAGATTGGAGAGCCCCCACCTGTATCCCAGATTCCCACTCTTATTTTTGTCATTCTATAAAAGCTGCTATACAGTTTGTTCCAAGGATGCCAAATTGCCAAGATCCAGGTTTTCAAGACATCTTCTGAACACAGACGTGCTACAGAGGAAAGGTGTTACTTTGCTGCAGCCTGATGTCTTCAGCACTGGGTGATCTTCCAGCAAGAAATGTTTAGCGACCTCTGCCCTGTGAGCACACATACGCTCAGGGGGCAATGTGCCCCCAACAGCCAACATCAAAGCAACTGGTTGAGACTGCATGCTTGCCCAAATTCTGTCACCGCTATCAAAAAGCAATCAAATACAGCTATTTTGCTATGAGGAAGTGATTACCATGCTGACTAATAAACTAACAATCGACCTGTTTGGTTTAGCACATGCGAAATCGCAGGAAGAGAAATTTGAGGAAATAAAATCAAAAACAAGGACCTGAGAGAGTGACGATCACCTGGCCTGTCAGTCTCTCCCATAGCTTTTGCTCCTCTGAAGCCACTTTCAGACCCAGTTGGAGGAGTGAAAAACTTCAGAGATCATCACATTCTCCGTAGGTCCAGGGGGTAAGGGGATGGATGGCGATCAGCAGCTGGGTAAAGGGAGAACAAAACCAACGCTCTCAGGAGCAGAAAGGCAGAACTAAGCAGAAGACCCCTGCTTGAGGTTATTGGGGAGGGGGGAAGGATACAGCACAGGACCAAGGCCCTGCACCACAGACAGACAGGCAGGCTTCATTATTTCCAGTGCTCATGGAACAACTAATTTTTAACTGCTATACTAGAGTAACTTGGCCAAAGAGTTCTAGTCTATGGCAATTAAGAAAAACTGCACATCTTGGCACTTTTAATCAGTTAACATTGCTTTGTAAGGCAGAACTATTTCAATAATCTTCAGGACACCACCACTGCTTTTAATCTCGTGTTTAAAACCCTTGAACCAGGAAGTTGTGGTTCAGAAAGGAAAGGCAGGACACAGTCAATGGTTGGTATCAGTTACTGCACACCTCTGCCAACTTTCTGTGTGGATAAAGCTGCTGGCTATTACGTTTCCTTTTTGTTTTAGAAGTCCAGCAAGATGGATCTGATTGGCTTCCATAAGCCCAAAAAGTGAATTACAAGATGAATGGTGTAATTAACACTAAACAAACTACACAAAGAAACTAAAGTGCTACATTCTCACAAAGGCTAAGAAGTTAATATTTAATATGCATTGAAGATTTTATTTGCATTAACTGAAGATTCAAATATTAAAATAAGTCTACATTAAATTACAATATTAAATATGTTTAAATACAATAAACTAAACGTGTTTAGTTTCTAAAAACAAAGGGAACAAAAATAACTCAGAAGAATGCAATACAGTTAATGACGACAGAATAAGGACTTTAATGTGTAAATCCACAAGATGTCAACTCTTAGCAATGTTTACTTTAAGAAGAGGTGGTGGCCTTTTAATTGATGCATAAACCCCATGTTACATAAACTTCGTAAGGTATCTCTCAAGAAAATATTGCTCAGTTTTTTCTCATTTATGCCATGATCAAAACTCCTTTGGTAGCTCTTTTTCAGAAGGACACACAAATATGCAAATCCAGAAAATAAAGAAGTCTTGTAAGTATTACCACAAAAGGTGTATTCCTTATAGTTACAATTATCTAACAGATCTACAGTGTCTTTCATTCTTTAATTCAGATCAACTTACATATATACAATATGTGACAAAGTACTCACAAAATCCTTAGTCTTTCAAGACAAAAAAACTATGCTTTCACAATATCGAGACATAAGAGTCTTTTTTAAAAAAAGGTTTTTTAAAGTGGAGCACACTGTACAGTACGTTCCCTGTATGTTACTTCAAAGGCAAAACTAAATGTTCCGGCAATTACATAAACAGTGATAAACACCAGTTGCCCTAAAATGAGGTAGGGCCTCTGACTCAGATCTAATCTTTGCCACCCAAGCCAGCAGTAGTAGTAATAAAATAATAATCCATATTTTAGCTAAATAATCCAGCAACTCACTACACACCTGAATGCAGTTGTCCTCTTGGCACTTCAAGGATCTCACTTCAAAACCTGATTTATCCAAACCAGACTGAAGTTCATAATCATTTGAAAGAAAATTAACTGAACACAAGTTTAAGGGTTTGGTGCATAATTTCAAAAATTCAGTGTATTTCAACAACACTGCTTCTACATAAGTGTTCATCAATTAAGGGTTTTTAAAAAGTTACCCAAGTTGTCACTGTAGCTAAAGAATGCAGCATATAGGGTCTTTATGGATGCAGTTAGGGACACATAAATGAAGAAACCAGACTTGCATCCATCACAGAAGTATTCCTCACACAGGTAATTTTACCTTTCCATCCAAATTTAATGACAGTGTTAAACAAAACTGGAAAACGAGGTTTTGAAAAACTCAAAAGAACAAAAGAGTAACTAAAAGAAATAAACCCCTGACATCTAAAATTTGTAAGGAGTCTTGACAAGGATGATCAATTAACATGTCATTTTGCTTCTTTTCCACAGCAGTGCATGCAGCTGGTTGAATAATATACATCAACCTGAAATCTGCTACAAGGAAAGTCTGAAACAGCATAGGTATTCGGTGTCCTGAAGATACATGTGGATGATTTTGGGTTTTATTTTTTTGGGTGTGTTTTCTGTTTTTTGTAAGTAAAAGCATGTCCTCTCCATTACGCAACATAGTGGTACTGATTGGGGTTGTCTTTGTCTCTCTCCATATAGTCTCTGTCAATGAGAGATTCAATCCTCTTTTTCAAGTCTCCAGGCTACAAGAGAAGATGAGATTAGTAAAACAGTTAGCAATATAAATGCAAATATATTTTATTTTAAAAAAACAGGACTGCTAACAGCTACATAAGAAAACGCACCACAGTAAATATCTAAACATAATTTCCTGCCAATACTCTGGTTCATTTCTGTTCACGCCCTCATTTTAATACTTCAATATCTGGATTTGATTCAGACATATTTCACATTTCTTACTCTTACGGACAAGCCCAGTGGAAAATATATTGAATATTTTTAGATAATCCTAGGATAGTTTGAGAAAAAATCAGTTACCTTTACAGGAAATTTCAGTTGATTATACAATTCAGAAACAAGGAGATTATGACCAAGTGTCTTTCTCATCTTCATTATTCGTACAATAGCAGCATCAATCTGATATTGCCTGTCTTGAAATACTCTTTCAGTTGTGCTGACCTGTTCCTCGACCTAAAGAACAATAGGACACCACAAATCATATCACCTTTTATTGCTGTTTTTTTGTCAATTACATTTCTATAGTTAACCTTTCCAATGAAATGAAACTCCTGTAGTATTACTCATTTTTGAGACAGACACATGCATTACTGCATGCTAAGGACTAAGTGATTCTGAAGCATACTGCTAAAGCAAGCCAAAGATAAAATTAAGGATAATGTAAAGAAAAAAATAATATACCTCTTCTTTTAAATCTATTTGATAAATTAAACTAAATCTTAAAAACTCATTTCAGATTTTTGAGAGAACACATAACAGAGTTTGACAGCCCCAATACAGTAGTCTTCCATATCAAACTGCTCAACTCTGATTTGACTTCTAGGGATTTTAATATGGAAAGGCAAAAACGAAACAACTCTATGTTAATTCAAACATGTTGCCTTGCATTAAGAATTGGCATTCAAGAACAGCAAAGACATCCACTACAAAAACAGGGACAACCCTGACTTTAGTAGCTCTCTTTTACCCGCTACATAAAGAAATGAAGCAGCATGGTGACTTTTGATTCATGAGTTCAATATAGTACTAACACTTTGGCCATACCACACAAACTTGTAAGATGGACTGAAACATCCACAAGATCCTGTCATTTTACAGGCATTTATATAGACATTCAAATTTGCAAGCACCATTTCAGTGAGTTTTAAAGTCTTTATTTCCTCTACAAGTCATCCTGACAACCAAAAAATTTATATTTATATAAATATCTCTTTCTTTTCTCCATATGCAAAAACTATGAGAGGAAGTGCAGAGATTCTGTCTCTCTATGTGGGACATGGATAAGCAGTTAACATAAACAGAATAAATGCAAAAAATAAATACATACTGTTTCTTTCATTTGGATTTGGTTGATCTTTATTCTAAACAATTTATGCTTGAAATCACCATTAAAGATGAATTTATCTCCATCTTCTACATCCTTGCCCTTTGGATTTTTAATCAATACCCGTGCTTTTCCACAAGCTAAAGACTGCAAGGTTCTTCTTAATTCACTGTCCTCTGTGAAGAGGTTCAAAGTATGGGAGAAAGCAGAACAAAACATTAACATGAAGAGTTTTATGTAATTTATCTGGAAATACAATTGAAAAGTTACTGGGTTTATGTTAGTACCTTCTCCCAGCTAAGTTCCAATTAGGGAACAACTTACAGCCTTCAAACTTGGTCTCATCTTTCACAGGGAAGTGCTGAGAGCATGCACAGAACTGTACATGCCAGGAAGACAGACTCAGGCTCTTCTCAGTGAGCTTTCCGTCCAAAAGTAGTTTCAGAAAAGATTTCACATTAACGTGAGCCTGGTTTTATTGCTTTACTTTTGTTTGGTAGTAACAGGACTTTAGAAGAAAACAGATCAGTTGGTGACAAGAAACTCAAGCCACCCATTTTATGATTTCATCCCTATTTTTAACACACACCACAAAATATATAATAAAATAAAAAAAAAAACAGAAAAGGAGTCTAAATTGATAGGAAGATGTTTTGTGAGAAGCCAGCGCTGACAGCTATTACAGTCACAAACTTCCCCCACAACAGGAAAATAGTAGAAATAAGTGAGTGAGGAAAATTTTATCTAGTAAGATTTAAAGCTAAAAGCATTTGGACAAGTAGATAAAATGAAGTCTAAAACATTCCAATAATTATGTTGCAAAGTTTTGTATCAAGGTTTTGCATTTAACAGCCTCTGCAGTCTCCAGAATACTTTTATTCACAATATAAAATTATCACTAAATGTGTCGGATCTCCTGAACGGAGGTTTAGTCTAAAAATTGAAAGAAATGTTTTGCAATCTAGTGCTGAAGTGCAGTGTAACTGAGCAAGAGACTAACACTATTATTATTTCTAAAATACTTTAACTTTCACACAGAGTGACCTTTTTCTTTTTTAAAACTTCCAGCTGTTCCATGATTACTAAAAAAAAAGCCTTTAAGGCACACTGACTAAACAGGCTTTTATGATGTTTCACACTTTTTGGGTGTTTCACCTTCCATAAATGCAGATTGTTGTGGTTTTGTCCAAACAAAGGATGCTGTTACATGCTCTCAGTATACTTTGGAGCTCTGCTGCTGTCCTGCACACCAAGTTGCAGGTTACAGTATGACAAAGGGAAGGAATCTGCAATTACCTATCAATCACTGAAGTAAAAGTAAAAACAACAGCTCCTAGGGGCTTTCTTGATAATGAGAAAGGCAGGCAAAAACATGGAGTATATTTGGATAACACATCTCGAAGAAGCATGGTTACCAAAGAGAAGGTAGCCATTCTTTCTCTGAGTGACAGTGTATGCGTTTTCTAACTGTGCTCATGTACCAGGGACAACCTCAGCTCTTTAAAGAGACTGGCAATGATTTGTTGTAATAGTGACTGGAAAACACGAGTTCCAGCTACGGCTAGTTAGTGCACCTGAAGACAGTAATATCCTACAGGGACAGAAATCCACAGGATATTTTGTCTGGGTTTTTTTTTTTTTTCCAAGTAATGTGGTAATCACCCATGAAGTACTCTTCTATTTCATACTCACGTGAGTGTCACTTTTTGAGTCCCAAAAGTGTATGTATTTTGTGTTAGATGGCAATGGAATATAAAGATACAATAAAGTCTGAAATGTACAGAGACCTGTTACCCACACTGTTTCAATACCCAGGGGTTTTGATATCCGGATACCCACTTATTTTAAGTGCAAGACATTTACAAAACTAACTTGTAATACTGTAAACACAGCAATGTAGCCAATACTGAAGCTGCACAGATGAGTGTCTGAACAGCAGAACCACAGAATATATCATATTCACCTCTGTAAGTATAGTATATCATGAATGTATGAAAGACATTCAAGAACTGGAACTCTGGCTGTGGCTGTCCTGTCAGTGCAGCACTGAACACAAATGGCTAGGTTTTATTTTGTAAAAGTGCTTGCTTAAGTGACTGAAAGTGTTAAGTCACACTTTCTTACTGGTTTCTGCCATATTGACTGGCCATTTCTTTCCATTAACTGCAGTATGACTGAGTGGAACAACGAATGACTGGCACTATACTCTGCTGCAGTCAGCAAGGAGCTAGGGACACTGGACCGACAGACCTGGTGACGCCCATGGATGCACTGCTAAAGCTGCTTCAACAGGAGAAGAGTGCCAAACTTGCCAAACAGGTTTTTGTAGCACTGGGAAATCCCAAATGCTTCACACCTCATTCCAGTACTATAGAAACATCATGAATAGTGTAAGACATCCACAGGAACACATAAAATAAGCAGAATATAACTTAGTCACCTTTATGATGTTCTCAATTAAAAACCAATGTACATGCAAGAACTGGGGGCCGACTCAAGTTGGCCTGACATTTCAGAATTAGCGTTTTAAGACCTGCCATTATCAGTTTCAGCTGAGAACAGCTACATTACATGTTATATGGATTGGGTAAAAATGTCTGCCTAACCCAACATGGGTTCTTTGACTTCGCTAGTAACAGATGGAGAAGCTAAAAGATCCCTGAATTCTTGTACTGCGAGGGCTAATGAGTTCACTATTCACTAAGCCATTCGTAACTCTACAGACTATTGTAGTTCCTGCTTTTCACCTCTCTCTAAACTACCATGCCCCAGGTTTAAGAGGTGAACTCTCCATCCTCTGCATGGGTACCATTCAATAACATCCATACTTAATCTTTCTGTCTAATTCTACTATGCGCCTTTAGAGATGGGATAACCTGCAATTTATGCAGTATCCAAACACAAGCACACACAAAGCACAATGATGCTTTCTGCTTTGTTCTCAGTCTCCAGAAGTTACCAGCATGCTATTTGCCCTTCTGATCACTGATGAACTCTCAGGTGATGTTTTCAGGGGACACAATGACTGAACAACTTCATTCCTGAGCAGTCATATCTAACAAAGTCAATCTCCGGCATGTGGTTAAGGCTATTTCTCCACTACAGACATCCTTATATTCATCAACACTAGATGCAATTTGATCTCCTAGTTGTTCAACAGTGTGAGACCCTTTTTAAACTTTTTTAGAAGTTTCAGATTTGACCTTTCTAAGGAATCAGCATCAAATTCTGTCACATCAGTATTCATCTTCTTCAGATCTTTAATGACTGTGTTGAACAATACCTGGGGATCCCAAATAGGAGCTTCCTTTCACTACGAAAGCTACCCATTCATTTCTACCTGTTGTTTTCTGTTTTTTCATCAATTATCCACCCCTAAGAGGAACTTCTCTCTCCAGCCACAAAAATTTAGTTTATTTCAGAGCTTGTGAGGAGCTCTTATCAAGAACTTTTTAAAACCCAAGTGGACAATTATGATTGTGCTTATGCTTGCTGACTCTCTCAAAGAACTTGAAAGGGCAATCATGCATCATGTAAATCATGCCGGCTCTTCCCTAATATACACTTATCCATGAGCCTACCAGTTCTGTTCTTCCCAATACAGACCTGCTACCCCACAGTAATCTGCAGAATTACTCCATGAACTTAAAACGTAAACAAAATAATTAGCATTGCTCTTGTGACTTGCCATTTCTATCGCACCAAGGCTCACAAATTATAAACTAGACAAACTAATTCAGTATTTATACTGGAAAGTTCCTGTAAAACTTGTGGATGAATACTACCAGTTGGTGGTGGATCTATGTTACTGTCCGATTTACTGACCTATTCTAAACCCTTACTGGCACTTCAACTTGCAATATTTTATTCTGCCCTACATCATGGGTGTGGCTGGCTGCACTCTTCTGCAGTAAACACCAGCGTGCAGAGAGTGGGTAACACCTCCTAACAGGGGCTCAACAAATACACGTTAGTTAAATAAAAACTGCACAAGGCTTCCATCACCCCATGTGCTCATTTTGTTTTATGCCCTCTAGCTTTTTTTTGAGTAAGAAAACAAATCCCTACTCACCAATTTCTATTTACCTTTTGGTCTATTTAGTTTAGTCCTAGCACACTTAGCTGCTCCTCCTAAAGAAGCTGTCCCTTGTCTCCCATCTTCATTCCCATTCTCTGAACTCTTCTTGAATCTACTATGTTATTTTCAGATGGTGGAGAGAGAAGCCTGACAAATCCTACAGACTTTCTAAAACATTTTAGTGTTCCAGCAGCTTCAGTCCCTTCAAATTTAGATGGGGCCCATCCATCTCATACAGGTTCCCTCTATTTCAGCGGCTTTCCTAATAAATCTAGACCCTCTTCCATACATCATTTTTTCAAGCATACACTGGAATTCTGCCTGTGTCTAGCGCTGCACATGGTGTTTAGAACATCTAGAACAGTTTCTACGGTAACCCTAGTGACCACATTTTGCCCTCCAGGATTTCTACCATGTCCAATGCTATCTGTACCTGTGAGCCAGGACCTCTGGGTCATCCAGGCCGGTCTGTCAGAGTCTGGTGGTCAGCACCTCTGCCCTTGGTGGTCAATTCACCAAGCAGCTGCATCACAAATGCAGCTACTTTTTCTAATAACTGAATCTCTGTTCTTTTCCAACTAGCTGGGACATCAGCCTTCGGCAGGGTGCCACTGAGCGAAAGGATTATCTGTGTAACAAGAGGCAGAAAGGGTGCAGTGTGGGACCTATTTCCAAGATCACTTCTGGCCATAAGAGTTTCCTGTCCTTTCAAGTAGGGAGACTGCTAGATGGGAATGGGACCTCTCTAATGCAGCTTCAAATGCCTTGTGTAGGTAGAGCCTGGGAAGACACATATTTTACATCCTCCACCCTGGCCCCACAGGAAGCCCTTGGACCATGAACTGTCCTCACTACCTCCACTCCTACACTATTTCTCCATACGGGAGAGAAACGCAGATGTGGCACTAGGTGCAATGACATAACAAAATATACATAGCTCCCATCTATCAATCAGGTCTATCCAGATGCCTTAAAAAGTCTACTGAAACCCTTTCTAGTGTGCTATAACGGAATAGATTTCCATGCAGCAGATTTTATCCGTTGCTGTCAGGCAGCCAAGGAAGCAAGCTTTGAGGTACAGCAATACAAGATGAGAAAGCAGGATCTAGATCAGGCTTGCGTGAACTTATGTCTGTTCTGTAATCATTGTACTCTGACCTAATGAGCCTCTCCAGACTATCCTAATGTTTATCATTCACACCAGTATGAGTTTTCTTCAGCTCCCTTAGCATTAATGGAGTGGATGACTAAGCAACTTGAAGTGCTGATGCTGAGAAGCTGGAGCACACGGGCTGCATTGCCTTCTGCAACATATCAGTCTGAACCACAGGGATTCTTGATATCTCCATTTTACAATATTTTAGTAAATATATTTACAATACTGTAGTACTTGTATGGTTTCAAATACTCTTTCAGCAGTTGTTGTATTGGGTTGATCTTAAGATTCAACATGTGAAGGGCTACTGGGTATGACCTGCTGGTTGATGCAGAAGTTTCAGAGAGTAAAGAGATGATAGTGTTATTTTCAATGCCAGTGGCTGTAACTATTTCAAGGAAGCGTAAAACTTTGAAATAAAACCACCCAAGAGCATAAGAACACAGAAGGTAGATACTGCAGATGGTTAAAAACCCACACTTTTGCTGGGTTTTCTTTGTCCTTTCTGACTTCAGGTTTCAAGTGCAGAGGGAGACAGCTACAAAGTATACACCCTATAGGACACTGCTGCTCTTAAGGTATCAGACCTATCATAACTGGGGCACTCCCAGCAGCAGTAATGGAGAACAGGCGAGCAAGCTCTCAGAACGGTTCAATTGAAAATACTCTCTTGAATCACCCCAAAATGACAACATTCTACAACAGATCACTCTGAAAATATAGTATTTGAAACTGTAATGGAACAAAAATAATCTGTACATGCAATAGCCTTTATCACCACTTGAATTTAAGAATTGCAATGATACATTTTGTAAATCTAAAAGGTTGTCAGTAGTACCATACACTACACAGCTCATTATTTTGTGAAGCAACTATTTTTTCTACACTAGGAAGTACCAGCAGTATGTCTTCCTCATCTCTTTTGTTGTCTATATACTATTGGCTCATAAAGTTTGTCCTAATGATTGTGGCAAAATTCTTAAAATTAGGCCTTTCAATACCAAATCATAATCAGCAATCACTCAGTGAACACATTTAAGAATCAAAAAGTATTCTTCCTACCTACACCAGTGGCCATTTTAATTTCTTCAAAACTGAATTCATCTCCTTCATTAAACATAAGCAACAGAAATGTCTGAAAAAGCGATACTTGAAATTCTTTCTT